ACAATATTGGAAAGAGGCAATCAATAGTGAGATAGAATCCATATTAAGTAATCATACTTGAGAATTGGTCGATATTCCTCCAGGCAATAAACTGTTGTGCTCTAAATGGAGTTTTAAGAGGAAAATGAAATATGACGGCACTATTGACAAATAAAAGGAAAGACTTGTGGTCAAAGGGTATAGACAGCGAGAAGGTTTTGACTATTTTGATACATATTCTTCAGTTACAAGAATTACATCCATACGGACGTTAGTAGCATTAGTTGCAGTATATGGTCTTGAAATCCATTAAATGGTTGTTAAGACGGCCTTCTTAAATGAAGATTTGGAGAAAAAAATTTATATGGAACAACCTGAAGGGTTCGTGGTTCCCAAAAAAGAAAAGAAGATATGCCTACTTTTTAAAGTCACTTTACGGACTAAAACAAGCACCAAAATAATGGCATGCGAAATTTGATCAAACAATGTTGTCAAATGGTTTCAAGATCAATGAGTGTGGCAAATGTGTTTATATTAAGAATACTCTAAATCAAATAGTCATTGTTTACTTATATGTGGATGATATGTTGATAATGAGTAACGACATTGCTAACATAAATGCTACTAAGCACATGCTTACTAGTATGTTTGATATGATAGACTTAGAAACTACCGATTTAATTTTGTGAATTAATATCCTTAAGACTTCTTAAGGTCTAGTCTTGTCTCAGTCTCATTATATTAAAATTATACTTAAAAAGTTAAAATATATGAAATTTAAAGTTGCAAGAATGCCAATTGATTTAAACAATACTTTTGTAAAGAATAAAAGTCAAAGCAAGCCTCAAATGGAATATGCTCGAGTGTTGGGATGTTTGATGTACATCATTGGTCCACGTCCAATATGCACTCAATAGTGAGTAAAAACGGTCGTCGGAAGAATAATACCCAACAAGAGTCGGGGTCGATTTCCACATGGAGTTTAATATGGATGTTAGGGTGTACACTTGATGACAGTAAATGAAATAACTCAATTGCTCTTCCAAACAAGGAATTTTATTTTCTACTTCTAAATTAACACTAACAATTGTAAACTAATGAGAAGAAACTAGAAAGCAAATAATTGTTTTTTTGTTTCTACCAAATGGTTAAAAGGCCCAAGGATGCGACCTTTACCTAGGTGTTTGCCTAATGGGTTAAGTACGTTAACACTTGCTTTATTGATTGGGGTGTATTATAGCTCTCAACTCTAAGTTATCCACTCAATACCTCTCATTCATAGAGTGACTTTGCTTAATTTGCTTTCTCATGCCCAAACGGGTATCGAGCTAAGTAGTTAATATGAGCTCAAGTCGGGTTTTCTCTATCTCCAGTTCAAACCCTTTAATTAGGCTAGTCAAATCCTCAATGAGCCCAATTTCTTGTTAGCCAAGTGTTCCTAGACTAGGTCCCTCTTACTCAAGTAAAGACCAAGTCAAAAAGGCATGTACACACTAGGGTTGGGTCACAACCCTAGTAAACGTCTAGCTACTCATTGTAGAAAATGAAGAAAACAAGAAAAAATACTAATAAAACCCATAATATATAATTAAATTAATAAACTATGATGTTTTAATCCTAAAATGATCACAAATTTCCTAAAATAGAAAACTACAATGGCTACAGCAGCTAGAACTTCAAAACTTAACCTAAAACTGTGATTCCCGTCTATTCATAATGGCTCAAAATTCGCTGACAAAAATGCCCCTCGAGAGGTATTGCGGCCGCACAATTTCATGTGCGGTCCGCACATTACTTAAATCTGCAGGGAACTGGATTCTACAGGCGCACAATTTGGTCTGTGACTGCAATTCAGCTTCTGCGGCCGCACAATTCTTGTGCGGTCCATACTTCAGGCAAGGCATTAGTCTTGGTCATTTGTACAAATTGTGTGCGGTCCGCACTTCTGCCTCAAGTAAATCAGGGCTTCTTCTTCAGTTCTGTGGCCACAAGGAGAATTCTCCGGTGCACACTTGCTTCTGCGACCGCAGAAATACTTCTGCGGACCGCACTTCTTGTGTGTTGTGCCCCTTCTTGCCTTGTGAGTCGGAACACTCCTTTTTGAGTCAGATTTTTCATAAGAGCCCAAATTTCCAATATTCCTGCAATTTGCATATTTTCATTAGTTTTGGGAATATAAATCAATACTTTTAGACTAAAACAAAAGTAAAAAGGTACTAATAAGTGGTCAAAATCCACACTTATCAACTCCCTCAAACATAAGTCTTTGCTTGTCCTCAAACATAAGTTTTTGCTTGTCCTCAAGCAAATAGATTAGTTCCTACCTCCTAAAAGTGAAAGGTCATTTCAACGAGTCAATGGTGAGCCATTCATACTCAGTTGGGACCAACAATTACCCACTCTACTCATGCATTATCAATAAGGTGATAAGTCAAATATTTATGCACATATAGTTCTAATGTGACATTTGGGCTTCAAGAATTGACTTTACTCATCAAGAACTCTTGTTCTATCATATAAGTCATGGTGGGCTAAAAACTCTTCCTCCTCTACCTTCCATTTGCCAAGCTCACTTCAAAAGTTAGAACTCATTCTTAAGATTCATGAAGGATCACTCTTCTCTCACAAGAAAATGTCACAAGTACTGCTTCAAGTACCATAGGCTTGCCCCTAATGTAGATCACCACTAATGTAAGCTTACTCTGTTCGAAATCAAGTGGGACTTCTTTCGGGTTATAATGAAGGCTTTTTATTAGGGTAGGATACTATATGGGAATGTGGTTACACATTTCCTTAAACACTCCACATTTTCATTTCCCGGCTTACAATTACCAATTTTTAGAGGTATTCTCTTTTTATTGGGGGCTAGAGAGACTTGACATCACTCTTTCTTGGTCATTTCATTCAATTTCTCCCTTGATACTCATGTTAGGGATCATTACCTCTTTTTGAATCCATCAACCCTTACACTTATTCTCTCTTTTTTGTATTTTTCTTTTTGTTCTTTCTCTTTTCTTGCCTTCTCTTTTCATAGAGATCATTTCGTTTCACTTTTATTGTGCCTTGATACCTCTTTCAAATTCCTCAACTCTCCCCCCAAACTTATGTCTTAAGGCACTTATTTCACAAGAGTGTTAAGGAAGGTTCGGGTGCCAAGAGAGGATCATGACAAAATGGGTAAAGGCTTATAACCTGGTTATCAAATGCGAAAGGCTAGAGGCTCGAAGGGGGTTGACAAGGGATAACGACTTTGGATGGAAATAGAAAAATCAAACGGGCCAAGGAGAGCCTACAATCATTTCTTAAGCCAAGCAAAACTTAGGATTTCGCTTTGAAGCACATTCGGGGCAAGTTCTAGACCATTCGCATGGATACTTGGACTAGCAACAAATTATCTCAACCCTCACGCAACTAGACCGTAAAAGAGGATAGACTTGAGAGCCTACAACAACTAGGCTCAAGTTTAAAGATCACTATGGTCCAATAAACCACTCGATGATTGCCAAAATCAACTCAAGAGTCTTAGAGTCACTAAGTAGAGCTATTTTCTTTTAAAAACCTTGTTTCAAACCAAATGAAGCATGAATAACTCTTTTTCGAGAATAACTTGATTAGGTCTTTTATTCATTACTACTACTATAGTTATTACCTAAACACAAAAACAGACTCATTCCCTTAGGTAGGTTATCACGCCATCCATCGTTGGGACGAGTCACCTGATTCACACAAAAACTACCTTTGGAAAGAACCATGGCGTAAAGAAAACCAAAGGCTTATTATCTACGAAAGCATAAAAAGAATCTACTAACTAATCAAGTACTAAAGTGAAAAAATAAAGAAGCTAACGATCAATACTACTAAAGATAGATAACTACAAATAAGAAAAGGAAGAGAATCATCAAATTATTACGGTCCAAATATATCCAAAATGTGTCAATGTATGAAATAAACTCCTCCCCTGAATAAAAGTAAGTTTTTTTCCCAATGCTTAACAAAATAAGAGTGAAAGAAGAGAGGGTGAAGAAAACTCTCTAAGGATCCTTGGACATCTCAGTGTCCCCAACAATATCATCTCCCGTAGGGTCAGCCAACTGTATCTTATCATCATTAAATCTAGGTATGGTGGGAGCGGTGAACATCACACGTACTGCCTTAGCAGTGTCGGAAGCAAGGTCTGGCTCCTCAGACTAGCCAGCTGGTGCAACCAGTGCTGATGGATCTGGGGCGTACTGGTGTGGGTCAGGTAACATGTCAAAAGGTAGATCCCCCGATGTCGCAAGTCTGGTCACTTCCCTCCGGAGCTTGTCCACTGATTTCTTGCTTGCCTGGTACTTCCTCATCTTCTTTACTTCTTTGCCCAACTCCTCAATAACCGACCCGTATTGTACCAGAGTGTCCATGATTATCTTCTAGTAGTCCATAATCTTCTTCAATTTCTCATCAAGATCATATAAGACCTATGGTGCTTGTGTAGATGACTACGCTGCAATAATACTAGATAAGTCAGACATCATTGAAGTAGTTATTTGCATCCAGTTGTTGAGACTCGCCAATGTCTGGGAGACTTGCCGAGCAGATAATGGAGCTATAATGGCCTATGGTGGTTAAAGGTTGGGCTATCTTCTTTGGGTTGGTCTCATCCATCAGTGAATACTAGTCAAATGGCTTCTTCAACTTCACCTTAGTGTAAAATGGTCTCGGCTCTACCTTTGCATCAGTGTGGTATTCTGTTATAGTGTTGGGATAAGGGTAGGCCGAGCTATCCTGCTATGCTATCAATAAAATATTGGCCGACATCACGGCACCCACATTAATTGGGCATCCGGCTATGATGGAAGCCACAAGAACAGGCCGAGGAATAGGTAGATGAGTCTCATTCTGGCATGGGTTTAGTCTAATGTAAACAATTTTGGATTATGTATGAGAGATAAGTTCATAATGTAAAGAAATTTTATACTATCGGACTAAATTAACCTACAAAATAGTCAGCTTCCCATTATCAAGCATGATATGGNTATATATATATATATATATGTTAACTAACCTGGAATTGGGATTCAAGAAAAGCAAGAATTGTACCGGGAATTATCCCTCTTACACCTCCACCATCAATGCTAAGAATAGTTATCACCTTTCCTTGTGATGATCTAGTCATGCTTGATCTCAGTTATTTAGTTAAATCTATGTCTACGAATTAAGCTTAGCAGTCTGAGTGTCCAGTGCCTTTACATTAGAAGTATTTATGATGGGAACAAGAAATAAAAGATGACAAAAAAAATGGAAAAGTCAAAGAAAGAAATAAATGAAAAGAGAAGAAAAAAATGTGTGAAAAAAACAAAGAAAGAATGGAAGTCTGAATGAAAAGACTACAAAATGTAAAAGAATTAAATTGGTTTACAATCGCGGTGGCATGTTCACATTTTGACGAAGATTTCAGCTGATTCCTCTGCCTATGAATAGGCATCCCCTTCTCAGTTCACATTCTTCTCTCTCTGAATTAATAAAGAGTTATTCTTTGTGTGGTCGTGGAGCAGGCAAAAATTGCCGAACCACATAAATCTTGTCTTGTCTTATTTTGTATAATTTATTACTTTTCTCCTTTAAATATTTTACCCTTCTATTAGCCTGACATGCTTCCCAACAGTTGGTATCAGAGCACAGACAGTGTAATTCTGGTAGAAAAGTACGATATTAGTGTAGATACTATTCACAATAGTGAAATACTATTCATTAATAGTGATAGTATTATTCATCAATAGTGAGTGTTGTCTACCTTATACGATTGAGATATTTTTTTTACACAGAGTACTATTTGCGGTTACTGATGAGTGCAAAACACAACACGAAATTAATACTCGCTAGTCAAAAATAGTATAGTTTAATTATCGTCTCCACAAGGATTGGATTTAAATAATGTTCGAGTAATTTCTGGATTAGTTGCTATTTAGGATGATCAACACTTGAGTTGGAGTGATTACTACTACAATTAACTACTAAATTAAGACTACTAATAATTAGACCTGATCATATATAGAGAACGAGAGCTGAACTAAAATGGTTTGTAAACAATATGAGAAATAAGGGTCATGCCATGATAGGTATAAGATAGTTATTCACGATTTAACTCTGTTTAAATTCACTTCTAATGTTTTAATGATTCTCCCAAATTCACTTGATAATTAGCTTGAACATAAGGTGAAGATTCCTCTCTCGATTAAATCTGAACTCTACAAAATAAACTAATATGAATCACTGTAAAGATATGCAAGAGCACGTTAATGGACTAGTCTTTAGAAAAACGTCTCTCGAATATTCTCCGAACTTGGTTTAATCAATAATTCAAAAAGCTCTCTCGATTACTTAGAAGAATCACTAAATTAAACCAAACCAAATAATACAAAGATAATCACCAAAATATTCTTTTGTTTTCCGATTAAATAAAACGGTGAATGATTTCGCAATTAATTCAAAGCTTCATAAATATATTCAAATAATTAAACTAGAGTTAAATCTACAAATAACACTCAAAACACCATATCAAAATCCTAGGGAAGAACTACTCCATGGATATGGAGAAAGTTATCACAAATAAGTTTAAGAACATAGAAAACATCAAAAATAACTTTACGATACAAACTCCCGTATTACACCGATTGTTAGTAAAAGAATTAATGAAATTTTGTTGTGTCTTCCGGTCGTGGTAGCTCTCTAAATTATCCTAGGTTGAATTCACCCTCAAAAATATGTTTACCGTGTATTTATACATTATAGGAATAGTCTTAAACCGAAGCTTTAATGGGTCGAAATAGGATTGCACAGACCTAAATATTGCATTGACACGCCGTCGGGCACGTCGCGCCGCACGAAGTGCCAATGGACAAAAAAAGTATATAGCTCCCTTCTTGGACATGACGTCATAGTCATGACTTTGGAGAATACTCAATTGTGGCTAGTTATATTTGTTTGAATTGCCATAATATTTGGCACGTTGGCAGACACAAAGTGTCTTGCTAAGTTTTCATGTCATTAGTTCCTCCACTATTGCTTTCTCTTTTTATTTCTTTCACTATGCAAATACGTACTCGGTCCTCGTCTTCGATCTCCGAATTTGATTCCGACTTAATTTTTAAATTTTTATTCATACTTTAAAATTCTCTTTTGATTCAATTTATCTCCAAAAACTCGTCTTAGCCCGGAATCTCAACTTACACAATAAAAAATACGTACTGAGTAGAAGTTGTCCATATTTTAGCTCCAATACAATTAAAGTGTAGCAAATAATCGGTGCAGAGTAGCCAAAAACTCGTATTTCTAGCCTACCATCAATTACTATTCAAAGACACTATTCACATAAAAAGAAATATTTTTTGTGAAGAAATAACATCGGAATAAGGGAATGTTAAAATTGACAAGTTCATTGGCAAAGATTTTGGATTATGAAAAATGCAGATAAAAGATTATTTGTACCATAAAAAAATTACACTTACCTCTGACGGGGGTAAAACTAAAGAATATGTCCAAAGCGCATTGAGATCTATTAGATCGCCAAGCTCTTGGTGTGATGACACAAAATGTAGCGTTCAACATCATTAACGAGAAGACCTGCAGGTATGATGAAGGCGTTATCAAATATGTACGAGAAGCCATATGCTTCAAATAAAATCTATTTGATACGTCGGTTGTTCAACTTAAAGATGGTGCAACTTGGTCAGTATCAGCAGTTTTCATAACTTGACGAGCCTTCCATGAGCTGAACCATATGTGTAGATTCTGAAGTGCCTCTGTTAGTTCTTCGCGGCTAATACGTTTGTCACGATCCATGTCGAATTGCTTAATCCACACCTTGAATTCTTGCACTGACATATCTCTATTTGGCTGCTGCACTGGAAGCTCGAAACAACTCATTATTGCCATCTGTTCTCCTTTAGTTTGTTAGCTCTACAATATATATATGATGCCTTATTTGTTCTATCCTTTACTCGCTGTTAAATTTGCACTAACTTTAGAAGTGCTAGGGAATCAATCAACTATAAAATTTGATAGGTATCTTTTCCTTTTGGACTTTTATTTAAGATGAGGGTATCCATGATGGAAACATCATCCTAATAATATGAATTTCTTCTCATATTGTGGGTTTGAAATGATGTTGATTCTTGCAACTTTATTCCATAGATTGCCTTTTTAAGTATGAACAATGATTCATGAACAGAATCTCACTCCACCAAATAGGTGCAACTTGATCTTAGAATCAAGTTCTCCTTCCTCTGTCTTTCCGCCCAATTTCTTCATTTGTTTTAGTTTCCTAGTTGACCAGCTTTATTTGCATGAAAAGGAAATTAAGATTGTTATGGCTCCTGATTTCACACTGTGTTTTCGGTTGCTAAGGCCAATAAACATTAACAAACTAATGTGTATACGGTCAAAATGGATTTGGCATGTCCGGTATGGTTCGAAGGGTGATATATCGAAATAAGATTCCGAAGGAGGGGGGAGGGGCACGAACTAATCTAGAGCCTGGGAAGGCCGGTCCGTGTTGAGATCGATATCATAATCAAACTCGAACAAGAATCGAACCATGGCACGGGTAGATCTATCGTGCAGATAATCAAAAAACCAACCTACATCGACCAAGAATCCGTTCGAGGGCTCGAACCGGGATCAAGCTCGAGTCAAGATCACAAGTTCGAGCCGAAATCAAGCTCGAACCAAAATCGATGGTTCTAAGCAAGATCGGGCTCGCAGACAAAAGCCGTTGTAATCCCACTAGAGGGAATCTTGGCAGAAATTATGGAAAAGCTGATTTATCATGGGTTTCCCACTGAATGTTTATTTTATTATGCTTGGAGCTAAACCCTTTCACTATAAAAGGACTTGTTTATCATTTTTGTAAGGGACCTATGGCAGGACTTACACTATCATAAATTGTATTATCCCCTCTACAAGCAAGAGTAATCTTTCTAGTTTCTTAGATTGATTCTATTTTTGTTAAATCCTAAATTTCACTGTTCATAATTGATTGGCCTAGATTACGTTTTTCTCCAATCTATATTCATACTTTTATTTATCCTAGAATTCTGTATTAAGTTGTATCACGTATCTTCGGAACCGCGCATAAATTCAACTCAATCCCTTTTTTCGGGTAAACAGTTTGGCGCCCACCGTGGGGTCGAGGCTAATAGTGGTCACTTATTTCCGAAAACAACCTTCAATTCAGGTTCGGCTACGAATAGCCACCGACCAAATGGCTTCGCCGACTGATTACGAAGTCGGCCTTCAAGATGAAACCAACAACTGGCACTACCCGAGATTCGAGCCGGAATACCACTAGATGTCAATTCACAAATTTCTTTGGAAGCAAACCAGCGTTCCGAACCAAAAAGAAGCATTCAGGGCGGTGCTCGATCCGTAGCCCAAGACACCCAAAATCCGGAAGAGATCGGGGCCATCTTACGCATGATCTTCGAGATGGTACAAGCCCAACAATTAGCAATAGCTCAGCTACAGAGCCAAACTCGCGCACGAAGCAGGCCGGTTTCCAACCCACTTCGAGAGGTCACCCCTAGAACAGAGCCTGCCATAGTAATATCTAACGAGCAGGAATCGGGGACTAATCCCGGAATTACTAAACTGCTCGAAGAACTCACGAAACGAGTAGAAGCCAACGACAAGAGGGTGGAGATGTGTAATTCCAGGGTCGAACAAATCCCGGGAGCTCCGCCAATGATAAAGGGCTTGATTCAAAAAAATTCATACAAAAGCCTTTTCCATCGAGTGCGGCACCGAAGCCAATCCCCAAAAAGTTCCGTATGCCCGAAATTCCCAAATACAACGGTACGACCGATCCTAACGAACATGTCACATCTTACACGTGTGCCATAAAAGGCAAAGATTTGGAAGATGACGAGATTGAATCCGTGCTATTGAAAAAGTTCGGGGAGACCCTCTCGAAAGGAGCTATGATTTGGTACCACAATCTACCACCAAATTCCATCGATTCTTTTGCCATGTTGGCAGATTCGTTCGTAAAAGCACATGCTGGTGCCATAAAGGTCGCAACGAGAAAATCAGACCTCTTCAAAGTAAAGCAAAGGCAGGGAGAAATGCTGAGGGAATTCGTATCCCGATTTCAAATGGAACGCATGGAATTACCCCCGGTCACCGAAGACTGGGCCGTACAAGCTTTCACCTAAGGATTGAACGAGCTAAGTTCGACAGCATCACATCGGCTAAAGCAAAATTTGATCGAGTACCCGGCGGTAACTTGGGCAGATGTACATAACCGATATCAATCGAAAATTAGGGTCGAGGACGATCAGTCGGGGACTTATCAGAACAGGAAAGTTATTAATCAAAAGCAGATCGACAGAGAACAAAGGTCAAACAGAGACCGATATCGACCATACATCACCGATCGGGTAAATAATGGTTCAACACGTAACGCAGTTTGAAACAGTCAAAGAATTGATCGGGGACAAAATTCTCGGGGGCTTATGAGTAAGAGCGGCTTCGACAAACATGCCGAGCCTATAGAAGCACCTCGATTATCAGAGTATAACTTCAGCGTTGGTGCATCCGCTCTCGTATCGGCCATCGGACGCATCGAAAACACTAAATGGCCCCGACCAAAGCAAACCAATCATGCCCGGAGAAATCCAAATCAAACGTGTGAATACCATGGAACCCATGGCCACAGAACGGAAGATTGCAAGCAACTAAGAGAGGAAATAGCTCGCCTATTTAACAAAGGGCACCTTCGGGAGTTTCTGAGTGATAGAGCAAAGAGCCATTTTAGAAGTAGGGATGTCAGCAAGCAGAACGAGCAAGAAGAACCACAACAAGTTATCCACATGATCATCGGCGGCACCGATACCCCCCGGGGACCGATGCTTAAGCGCACTAAAACATCGATGGTGAGGGAAAAGCGATCTCGGACTCAAGAGTACGCACCCATGGGGACTTTGTCCTTTGGTGATAAAGATGCAGAAGGGGTCATCCAACCTCACAACGACGCCCTGGTAATATCCGTACTCGTAAATAAAACTAAGATTAAGCGTGTGTTGATCGATCCAGGTAGCTCGGCCAATATCATCCGATTAAAGGTAGTAGAGCAGCTCGGCCTGCAGGATCGAATCGTGCCTGCAACTCTGGTCCTAAACGGGTTCAATATGGCATGCGAAACCACCAAAGGGGAGATAGCCTTGCCAATAAACGTGGCCGGAACTGTCCAGGAAACAAAGTTTCACGTGATCGAAGGCGATATGAGGTATAACGCCCTTTTCGGAAGGCCATGGATCCACAACATGAGAGCCGTGCCTTCGACCCTGCACCAGGTCCTCAAGTTTCCGGTGTCGGGAGAAGTCAAAATGGTATACGGAGAGCAGCCAGCCGCAAAAGAAATGTTCATCGTCGATGAAGCCAAACCAATGTCCTTACTTTCGCTGATAAAGGGACCGGGCCCGGAAGGAGAACGGGACACCAAATAGCAATCACAGACAGTGACTCCAACCCAGCCTGACAACCAGAAAGTCGAAGAGAACGAAGATCAAAGGGTCCCTTGATCTTTCTTAACTCCCGATGACTCCGATGCCACAAAATCAATGATCGAGGAGCTAGAACAAGTCGTATTAATCGAGTGCCGGCCCAAGCAAAAGGTATACTTGGGAACGGGGCTGAGCCCTGAACTTAGGAAGAAACTCGTTCAATTTCTTATCAATAATATCGATTGTTTCGCCTGGTCCCATTTAGATATAACAGGGATCCCGCCGGACATAACGACACATCAGCTAAGTTTGGACCATCGGTTCAGACCGGTGAAGCAAAAAAGAAGACCCGGTCCGATAGAAAGAACGCCTTCATAAAGGACGAGGTAACCAAACTTCTCAAAATAGGGTCCATTCGGGAGGTAAAATACCCCGAATGGTTAGCCAACGTAGTCGTAGTCCCTAAAAAAGGGGACAAACTTAGGATGTGCGTGGACTATAAGGATTTGAACAAAGCATGCCCCAAGGATTCTTTTCCATTGCCCAACATCGATCGCATGATCGATGCCACGGCCGGCCACGAGATCCTCACTTTTCTCGATGCCTATTCCGGGTATAATCAAATACAGATGAACCCGGAGGACCAGGAGAAAACCTCGTTTGTCACCAAATATGGGACATATTGTTATAATGTGATGTCCTTCGGGCTAAAAAACATAGGGGCCACTTACCAACGCCTAGTGAATAAAATGTTCGAAGAACAAATAGAAAAATCAATGGAGGTTTATATTGATGACATGTTAGTCAAATCCCTGCACGTAGAGGACCATTTAATTCATTTATAGGAAACGTTCGAGATTCTAAGGAAATACAAAATGAAGCTCAACCCCGAAAAATGTGCCTTAGGTGTCGGTTCGGGCAAGTTCCTCGGCTTCATGGTATCACATCGGGGAATAGAGATTAACCCCGATAAAATCAAGGCTTTTGAAGACATCACCGTCGTAGACAGCATAAAGGTCGTGCAAAGACTAACGGGTCGGATCGCCGCCCTAAGCCGATTCATATCGAGCTCATCCGATCGAAGTCATAAATTTTTTTCTCTACTCAAAAAGAAGAACGATTTTTTGTGGACCCCGGAGTGCCAACAAGCATTAGAAGGACTAAAACGATATCTATCAAGAGCACCACTGCTTCACACTCCAAAAATCGATGAGAAACTTTGCTTGTACCTAGCAGTGTCGGAAGTCGCCATAAGCGGTGTCCTGGTTCGAGAAGAGCAAGGTACGCAATTCCCAGTTTATTATACAAGTCGAACCTTAGGAGAGGCGGAAACTAGATATCCGCTCCTAGAAAAGTTGGCGCTTGCACTAATAAGCGCCTCGAGGAAGTTAAGGCCGTATTTCCAATGTCATCCCATATGCGTATTGTCTACTTACCCGCTTCGTAATATTTTGCACAAACCCGAGTTATTAGGCCGGCTGGCCAAATGGGCCGTCGAACTCAGTGGGTACGATATCGATATCAACCCCGTATGGCCATCAAGTCTCAAGTCCTAGCAGACTTCGTGGCCGATTTCACACCAGCCCTCATACCCGAAGCCGAAAAAGAACTGTTGAAATCAGGTACATCATCGGGGGTATGGGTCCTTTTTACAG